AGATCGAATACCAAATTTTCGGGATTCACTTTGGCCCGAAAGGTATGATCGAGGGTCGTGCGAGTATTGTCCTCGGCTTTCTTCTTATCAACTTCTGAAGTATTTAAATCGTAACGAAGCATCAAAGGAGTGGTGATCAGCCACTTATTTTGTTTATTTGTGCTTGCTTTTTTTCGAATCGAATGTTTGGCCAGAACATCAACTCAGCAAGATGCATTCGCATAAGAAAATTTGACTATGTACGCCGAGCTGATTTTCTGAAATATAAATTTATTAGATTTACAGCTGCACCCGGAGGTTGCCTACGTACCCGAATTGGGATCAAGCCGTTCGTAGTTCATTACAAGTATTGAATGAGTGGTATCACTCAAGGGCTAAGCCCGGTTTTATTGAAAACAAAAATTAGAAAAGGCTAAGGCTCATCGTTGAGTCTTTGTCGTTTATTTGGTGTCTTCAAGTGCTTTTGCTGTTGAGAGTCGTACTTTACGTTCGCTGATGAAGCAAGATCTTGCCATCTGCTAATCCCCGCGAAGCGTAATGACTCCAGCCGAAGTGACGAATTTCATGCATTGATGATAAGTCGAGACGATTGCTTTCATCTCATGGATCCACGGTGTGCCAAGTATGGCATTGTAGATTGCTGGTTTGTCCATCACCTTAAATTTAACAATTTTTGTTATGCCGCCGGTATAGACTGCGAGTCGTATGATGCCGAGGCTGAAGAAAGATTCACTGGCAAAGCCAGTTAAAGGCTTTGGTGCTGCCTTGATGTCTTTATCCTGGAATCTCATCTTAGTTAACGTATCTTTGAAGATGATGTTGACCGTGCTGCCGGTGTCTACCAAGATTTTGGTCACGTCGCTGTCGTGGATGTGTAGTTCTACCACCAGCGGGTTGTTGTGCGGGGTGTGTAACCCGTGCATGTCTTCTGATGTGAAGGTGATTGTAGGGTGATAGACCACGGGGCGAGGAAATTTTCGCGATGCGACTGCTTTTCGTCCATACTCTTTGATGGCACGAACCGAGTCATCGCAATCGGGGAGTCCTTCCATGATCATATTAACCTGTCGCTGCGGTGGAGGAGGCGGGTTCTCGTGTTCTCCATCGTCGTTTTGGCGCGCTGCTCCCTTTTCTTTTTCCTTTTCTTCATGTCTCCTTTCGGGCATGCGACTTTGGTGTCTTCCTCCGGAACCGTCTCGATTGCTGCTTCTTCCTGGATCCCTATGATCTCGGGTGGAAGTGGACCGACCCGAGTCCCTGGGGTTTGAACTGCGTGAGTAGGTGTTTCTACTCCGGGATCGATCGCTTCCAATGTTGATTCTACCTTCTTTATATCGATTATACAACATGTTGTGGAGGTGTCGACAGGCCGAGGTAGCGTGTCCTGTTCGTCCGTGAAAGGAGCAGTAGAGGTCGTGGTTATCGTCCCTATCGCTTGTGCTCCTTGGGGGGTCTCCTGAGGCCCATTGATGCCCAGATTTCTCTGTGGTTGCTACGACAGCGTGAGAGGAGGGCTTGCTCTTACTCGCGGGCTCTTTTTCTTTCGAAGTGCTTGCTGTATCCAAGCCGTGTTTCTTGGCATATAATATTTTCTCCTTCTCCATCCGTATGAAGGTTTGAGCCCGATGGAGGGCGTCCTCTATGGTTTCTTTCGGATGCTTCTGCAGATCTTCTTTAAAAGAAGATTCGTACCAAAGACCGTTCATGAGTGCCTCGATGGCTAAAGCTTAGGTAATTTGTCCATATGCCGCGGCGGCGTTTTTAAGTTTTTTGATGAAGTCGCGGAGTGGTTCGCTGCGTTCTTGTACTAGAGTAAACAGGTTGACTGTCCTCTTCGTGATGAACATGGAGTAATGTTTGATGAAGGCGTGAGTCAGATCTTTGAAGGATTTAATCAAGGTTGGGGGTAAGTTCAAGAACCACTTCAGAGCGTCTTTATTGAGGTGTTCGACGAAGGTTTGGCAGTGGTTGGCTTCTCGTTCGAGGTCGGCCTCGAATCGTTGCCTCTTCATGGCAACATTGAACCCAGTTAGCCATAGGTTGGGATCCTCCATCCCGTTGTAGTATGGGAGCTTCAGTTTTATTGCCTCGCCGAGTCGGATGTCAGTGATCCGTGGGGCGAATGGATTGCGTTCTGCATCCGAGAGGATGGCTGAGATCTCGGGCGCCGAGCTAGTGGCTCGATGGACTTGGGACCCGATCGCGTTGATCCGCTGATGAAGTCTTTCGATCTCGGAATCTCGTTCGCCAGAGGGCTCCTCGCCGTTGGCTGCTACACTTCGGGTGTTGTTTTGTGTCGGTGTTTCGAAGATCAGACGTCGTCCGATCGGTTCTGATCGTGCAGTTGTTGCGGCTGCGAAGACGCTGAGTTGCTCGTCGTACTTAGCCTGTTGGGCCTGAAGGGTGTCTAGTTTGGACACCAAGTCTTGTGTGAGTGGCTGCATGGCGGTCTGGATGGCTGCTGCGAGGTCAGAGGCCTGGAGGGGAGCTGGGGGTGCTCCCGCAGGTGGATTCGCGGTAGTGTGGTTTGTCTGTTCTCTGAGAGCAGGTGCCTCGGTGTGAGTGGTGTCATCATGGATGAGATCGCTATCGTTGACGGGGAGGCTCATCGCTTTGGCTTTCTTACTTGGTTTTTTTAAGAATTTATTCTCCTATTCCCCACAGATGGTGCCACTTGTTGAACCAGAAAATCACCACTAGGGTTTGATTAATAGTTGTGGGTTTCGAAGAATAAGATCTTTTTATTAATAGTAAAAAAGCGTAGCGTTTACAAAAAAAAGGTATAACCGAGAGGTTATGCCGAAGTGAAAAGAAAGTTTGCGAAGTAAACTAGAAAGCGTTGGAGTCTTTGATTTTAGCTCTGCTGCTCTCTAGATTGTATGAGTTGTTCTTTTTGGCTTCGGGACCTTTGTATTTATAGGAATGGGAGGTCGGTTGTTCCGAACTCCTTTTCTTTTTTGCTTTCTTGTATATATTCATATTTCAGATATGAAAATATCATTTATTCTCCGAAAAGTAAAGAAATTTTTCTTTATCCTTTGGATTAATCCGATGTTTCCGGTCTTCCATAATTATCTTTTAAGGGTTTTTCTTTATTCCGAACTAGGTCGGCGCGGTTTTCCTGGTCATATTAGACTTATGTTATTGCGGGTAAAACCTTTTATGAAATATATTCATTTTCCTTCTAACACTTGTTTTTGTTTGACTAGAAGAAGTTATGATAAAATCTGTTTGATTACAATAGCGAAATCAGCACAACTTAATTATACAATTTTTGTAAAGAAGCAGTGCACAACATATAGGGAAATTGATTACGTAGTTGTTTAAGCATACTGTTGACAGTTGGTTCCAATTATATTAATATATTGAACATCTTAAGCAAAATGACTAGTTTTTTAAGAAGATAATCATTATGTTAGAAATAAATAAATAAATAAATTGTGTCATTCTATATATTAGAAATTAAGACATACTATATAACTAAAAAATTCCCTAAAAATTCATGTAAATATTTTTTAATAAAAAAATTATACTAAAATATATATTTTAGCTAGAGAAAGAAAAATGCTAAATTACACGAAAGATACAAAATTTCTCATAAATTTATGCAAGATTATGAAAAAAATAAACCCCTTAAAAAATTCAATATATGGTAATCGTCAATTATTGTTTTACAAAATGACACCGAGATAAAGAAGAGCAATTAAAAGGTGTTGACGAAAAAATAAGAGTGCCCAAAAAGGCAAGAATTATAAATATCGAATTTATACTGTATGCGCCAATCATACTAATCATTCTCTTGTCTTGGAGTGCTAAAGAGAGAGAAAGAGAGAGAGAGAGAATGTTGTGTGTATGTGTGTCTGTCTCTCCATTGATGGCTGAAAGTGATTAAAAAAGAGAGACAAAAGGTTGAATTTCAGTATTTTTGCAGCTGGGTTTTACTGTAAAGCAGACGCTTTGTATATATTTTTCTGGGTAAGTGTTTTTGATCCTTTTCTCTTTGATTTTTTCAATTTTATAAATCGAAAATTTTCATCTTTGAGTCGCTGTTGCTTGCACCGAATTCGAGGTTCTTTCCTGAATTTTGATATACAGAGGAAAAAAAAACATTTTTTTCGAAAATTTATGTTGTTACCCATTTCATCTTTCTGGATAATTGATATGAAAATTGAAAAGCTCGACAAGTAAGATTTTCTTACTCTTGTTTGTGTATATATTAGTTTGATTAGTTCCATTCTCAAAGCTTGATGAAGATTCTTCTTTTGTTAATTTGATCCGAAATGAATAATTTGTCTCTATGATACATTTCCGTAAAGTCTGCAGTTTTCAATTTCGATGAACTCAATTGCTGTTGAACTCTGCTCTGATCCTAATTTTCTTAATGAAACAAACAAAAAAGTGTGACTTTTGCCCATTTTCTCTCAGTTCTTGAATATTCTGCTGATCCTGAAATGTAATATTTTTGTGCTTTCCACTAAGGAAGATTTCTTGCCTATTTTGCTGAAGAAGATGCATAGTTTTTGGTGAATGCAAGTGTACTAAAAAAAGTGGAACTATGCATTGAAGCTTACTCATGTTTGGTTCTTTGTCTCTGTCTTGTTTGGAGAATTTTTGCATTTCTAATTCTGAAGATTGATGTTCTTTTGTCCAGGAAGATCAAGTGTTTATCATTCTTACATATAAGGACCAAACTTATATACAGCATTTGTACACATCCACAGTGAATAAAGGACCCAGCCCATTGTCTTCTACCAGCCACTGTTATGGCCAATATGTTGCAGTCAGAATCAGAATCCAGGCGGTTGTACTCGTGGTGGTGGGATAGTCACATTCCTAAAAACTCAAAATGGATTCAAGATAATCTTGCAGGTAATGTATCTTATCAGTCTTGGAGATTCAAGTATTTTCTTGATTTGTGTGTCAGTGTGTGAGGATAAATATATCTTCTTCAGTCTGTTTCTTTTCGGAAGTTGAAACATTTTCTTTGTGTTGAACCAGATATGGATTCCAAAGTAAAGATAATGATAAAGCTCATAGAAGCAGATGCAGATTCGTTTGCAAGAAGGGCAGAAATGTACTACAAGAAACGTCCAGAGCTCATGAAACTTGTGGAAGAGCTTTACAGAGCTTACCGCGCTTTAGCTGAGAGGTACGATCACACAACGGTGCAGCTTCGTCAAGCGCATAAAACCATGGTTGAGGCGTTTCCTAACCAGATTCCTCCCGGCATGCTTGAGGATTCTGCATCATCTTCTTCTTGTGAGTCTCATACAACAGACCTTCACAAGGATGGTGCTGATGCTGAAGTTGAAGGATTGAAGAGAACATTGCTTGAGCTTCAGACTGAAAAGGAAGCTTTAGATCTCAAATATCAGCTAAGCTTGAACAAACTATCAAGATTCGAGAAGGAACTCAACGATGCTCAAAAGGATGTTAGAGGGTTTGATGAACGTGCTTGCAAAGCTGAGATTGAGATTAAAGTACTCAAGGAGTCTCTTGCAAAGCTAGAGGTTGAGAGAGATACAGGGCTTCTTCAGTATAGTCAATCTATGGAGCGAATAGCGGATTTGGAAGCATCGGTTTCTCATGAGCAAGAATTCGCGAAGGAGCTCACTGACAGAGCATCTGAAGCAGAAAGAGAAGCCAGTAGTCTCAAGAAAGAGCTTTCAAGATTGCAATCTGAGAAGGAAGATGGCTTGCTCCGATACAATAAGTGCATTGAGCTGATATCTGCTTTAGAGAAGAGAATTAGAGATTCAGAGGAGAGTGTTGAAATGTACAGGGACAAATCTGAGCAAGCGGAAAATGAAATCAGAGCTTTAAAACAAGAACTTCTGAAGTTGAATGAAGTGAATGAAGACTTGAGTGTTCGGTATCAACGGTGTTTGGAGATAATATCGAATCTAGAGAGAGAAGTTTCTAATGTTCAAGAAAATGCGAAAAGACTGAGCAGTGAAGTTCTTGCTGGAGCAGCAAAGGTGAAGACTGTGGAGGAACAGTGTGCTCTTTTGGAGAGCTTCAATCAGAACCTGAAGCTAGAAGCAGATGATCTAGCTCACAAAATGTCAGCTAAAGATCAAGAAGTCGACCAGAAGCAAAAAGAGATTGTAAAGCTTCAAGATTTAATGGAAGAAGAACACTTGCGGTTTTCAGAACTCGGAGCTAGCCTTAAAGATCTTGAGAGTTTGCATTCTCAATCACAAGAGGAGCAGAAAGTTCTCACCTTGGAACTTCATAGCAAGATTCAGATGTTTGAAGAAGAAAACCGAAGCTTGAGCGCATCAAACGAATCTTCTGAAATCACTTTGCAGATTCAGAAAAATGAGATCTCTTGCTTGAAGAAGATGAAAGAAAAGCTCGAGGAAGAAGTTGCAAAACAGATGAACCAGAGCAGTGCTCTTCAAGTAGAGATCCATCGCGTTAAGGGTGATATCGAAAACTTGAATAGGAGATACCAACAGTTAATTGACCAAGTGAGGCTCACAGGTTTGGATCCTGAGTCCTTTGTTTACTCCGTGAAGAAACTACAACACGAGAACTCGAAGCTCCTTGAGTTGTGCACCAAACAGAGAGATGATAAAGATGCTCTTACAGGAAAGCTCTGTGTAATGGATAACATTATAAGGAGGAATGCTGATATGGAGAAACGTCTTTTGGAATCAAACACTAAACTAGATGGTTACAAAGACAAAACAGAGGATCTGCAAGAAAGATGCGAGTCTTTACGAGGAGAGAAACATGAGCTTGCTGCTGAGAGAGCTAACTTGTTTTCTCAGTTACAAATCATGACTGTAAATATGCAGAAGCTCTTGGAGAAGAACTCTGTACTGGAGAGATCCCTTTCAGTTGCAAACATTGAGCTTGAGAGTCTAAGAGATAAGTCAAAGTGCTTTGAAGATTTCTTCATATTGCTCAAGAACGATAAGTCTGAACTTATAAAGGAAAAAGAATCTCTTATCTCTCAGTTGTATAAGGTTGAGGAGAAGCTAGGTACCTTGGAGAAGAAGTTTACAGAGCTTGAAGTAAGATATGCAGATTTACAGAGCGAGAGAAACCTTCAAGTAGAAGAGTTACAAGTCTCACTTGCCACTGAGAAGCAGGAGCGCGCTGATTACAAAAGATCGACTGATATCAGATTAGCAGATCTTCAGAGGAACGTGAGCGTTCTTCTAGAAGAGTGTCGCTCAAGGAAAAGAGAGTTTGAGGAAGAGCTTGACAGGGTTGTAAACAAACAGGTAGAGATCTTCCTCTTGCAAAAGATCATACAAGACTTGGAGCAGAAGAATCTCTCTCTTCTGATTGAGTGTGACAAGCATGTCGAAGCATCTGAGTTTTCGGAGAAACTCATTTCCGAACTAGAAAGTGAGAATCTTGAGCAGCAGATGGAAGCAGAGATCTATTTAGATGAGATTGATAGCTTGAGAGGTGCAATATACCAAGTGGTAAAGGCACTTCAAGTTGAAGCAGATTGTAAGAATTCAGAACAGAAGATTACGAAAGATCAAACTTCAAGTGTTTTAAGAGAGATCAATGGCCTAAAACGTTCACTTTCAAGCGCTGAATATGAGAGGCAGCGACTTGTTGTTGAGAACTCGGTGCTCTTATCTATACTTGAACAGTTTGGATCAGATGGTTTGGTGCTGAAGTCGGAGAAGAACATCCTGGAAAAGGATCTAAAGACTATAATACATCAGTGTGGAATGCTGGAAAAGAATAACAAAGAGATACTGGGGGAGAACCGGTTCTTGAAATCAAAACTGATCAAAAGAGAGCAGCAGGAGCAAGAGCTAAGAGCTGAATTGCAAACAGAGCATTCAAAGTTTGAGAGTTTGCATGAGTCATACATGGTTTTGCAACAAGGTTATACTCATACACTCAATGAAAACAAAGATTTGCTTCTGAAATTCTCAGAGCTTAAAGATGGAATGCGTGTAGTTGAGGAAGAAAACGGCGCACTTCTTGAGGAAGCGGTTGCTTTGAGCAACATGTGTGTGGTTTACAAGTCCTTTGGGTCTGAAATGGCTGAGAAGGTCGAAGACTTTGTCGAAATTAGTGCCGGCCTGAAGCAAATAGTTGAGACACTTGAGGAGAAGTTAAAAGGTAAAGCGGAAGAAACTCAAGGTCTTAACAAGATGCTTGAGAAATTACAAGAAGGCCTTGAAGAAGACAACTTCTTGAATGGACTCTTGGAAGAGAAAGTTTTCGATGTAGACGATATCTTGGAACATAGGCAAATGGAGATCCTAGAAGCAGAGCATATGCTCAAGGCTACACACAATGAAAATGAAGAACTGCACAAAGAAGTTGAGGAGCTGAGGAAAGACTGCGAAGAATCAAGACGAGTGAGAGGAAATTCTGAGAGGTGGATTTTCGAAATGTCGGATCTTGCTGGGAGACAAGAGGAAGAGATTACAAAACTCAACACTCTGAATGAGAATCTGGTGTCAGAGGTAGAGTTTCTACGCAACGAGATCCAACAACAACAAGTTCGAGAAGAGTTCTTGAGTTTGGAGCTGCAAGAGAAAAGCAATGAGGTTGGACTTTGGGATGCTGACGCAACATCTTTCTACTTTAACCTTCAGATCTCAGGTGTCCGTGAAATCTTTCTTGAGGAAAAAGTTAACGAACTCACCGGTGTTTGTGAGAAACTCAAAGACGAATCTGTTGCAAAGACGAAGAAGATAAAACAGATGAAGGACACAGTTGGATATTTGGAGTCTCAAGTGACTGAGCTAAAGACTCAATTGTCAGCTTATGATCCTGTGATATCATCTTTATCAGAAGATGTAAAATCTCTTGAGAAAAGTACTCAAGCCTGTCAACAAAGAGAGGTAAACTTTCTCACTCACTATTGAAATGTTGAACTCATCTCTCTTCATGACCTAAATTATTATCTTACAATTCCTTCAGGGAGTCCATCAGGAAGAAAATGGCACTACGTCACACAAATGCAGAGAACGCAAGAAGAGTGAAGAGATAAAACTTGAGGACAAGGTCTCTGGGGAATACATACAGACAATCTCAAGCCCTGCGATGACCGAGGTGAAAGAAATTAATGGTGATCAAGTCACAGACTCTCTGTTCTATGGAAGTAGTCTTGGTTGCAATGACTTTGAGTTTTGGAAAGAATCTGATGAACCAGAGACAAGTTTTAAGTTTCAAATCAACAGTAACGAACCGAAGAGGCCATATCGCCAAAGCCAGACTCCCTCTATAGAATCTGATAGAGTGGTTGGAGTTGTTGACAAGCTGGAGCTATCAAGAAACATAGAAGACAAGGCAAAGATTATGGAGAGACTTCTGTCTGATTCAAGGAGACTGTCAAGTCTCAGGATAAGCCTGACAGATCTGAAAATCAAGCTGGAGACGAATGAAAAGCAAGGAAGATTCAGCAAAGCTGATTTGGTTATAATGAAGAGACAGATGAAAGAAATGGAAGAATCTGTCTTGCAGCTGACAAACACAAACGAGATTCTTTCAAAGGAGATTGAGGAGACCGGAGATTCCAGAGATATATACAGAAAGGTGGTTATGGAGAAGTCGAGAAACGGGTCTGAGAAGATAGAGCAGCTTCAGAACAAAATACTGAACATTGAACAAACAGTTTTAAAGCTTGAAGACGGAGCTAAAGGCAAAGGAAGCAAGATGTTGTCAGAGAGTAGTAGAGTGTTTCTCTTGAGAGACATTATTCACAAGGACGAGAAAAGGACTGCGAGAAAGAAGAAAAACCGGTTCTGCGGATGCATAAGATCTTCGAATAAAGAAGAGTAGAGTGGTTCATAAGGTAACAACAACATCTACTGGTATTTTATAGGTTGTTGTATAGATATTCATTAAACTTACTCTAGAGGTATTTATTATATGCTATGGTTTCTGAAATAATGAAGCAATTATCCCAAGATAGCTCTTGTAGTTTAGTGGACAAAACCTTTCAAGAGAAGATGTTATATATATATAACAAGAAATGTTTGGTTTTCTTGTGAAGAACATGATGGATTGACATCTTTATTACACAACCACTGGGGGACTACAGAAGCTAAGTGTGCTAACTTACTAACAACAAGAAGTTGAATTTTGATCATCTCTCACATTGAAAAAAAGATTCAAAGAATTTTCATAGCTACACAACACACAAAATGCTTTCAGTGTTGAGGAGTGAGAGAAGGAAACGATGGAATCGAGTGGAGTATCAGTTTCCTCCCACCGCTTCTTCTCCCTAAGATTGATGGGCTTGATGAGTCCATATGTGGAGGAGAGACCCTCTTACCATTGGGAGATACAGCTTTTAAGTTATCTTTAGAGGAGTGGCTGAGAATCTCAGGCATATCTTCACCTCTATTCTCTGAGACTGTCCCGAATGACTTCTCAATCCGGGACTGAGTCGAACTAGTTTCCGGTTTTCTTAGATATTGACTGCTAAAGGAAGATCCACCTCCAAGAAGAGACTGTGGAGGAGGCATCATGTTCTTAGATGATGAGTAGTGTAGTTCAACCAGTTGTTGTCTGAGAAGAAACAGAAATAGAGCTGTTCAGGTTATGTAGAGTATATAGACTCACATCAAAACTCTTTTAGAATCTGAGATTGTTTACCTGTAAATAGACATTGGTGTTGTAGGTAAAGCAGAACTCTCTTCCCTTCTAATTAAAGCCTCAGTGTTCTGTTGAGTTTTTGCTGTTTTGCTTTTCTCAGATGCTTCATTTTCCTCCTCTTGTTCTGCTTCTATGTCAACAGTAGAAGACCCTGAGATTACCATTGAGTAGAACCAGAATAAGAAAGTGAACTTGTGATTACACTCAAGAAGCAGAGAAACAGTCAAGAAGCAGAGAAAAGCTAACCATCTTTGCGTCCGAATGCGTTCTTACACCCTTCACATCTACAGTTTATGGAACATCCCACACCGCCCTTTAAAGAAAAACATCAGATCAAAGGAGAGGTTAGCCACATAGTTCCATCTGAAGTACATAGACGAGAAGAAAGATGAAAACCTGAAAGCATTCACAGTATTTCTTCAAACAGTTTGATTTCTTGCAGTTGCAACCACGTTTATGGCGCGCAGAAGCTGGAGTTTTGCTTGCATCATCCTGTGTTTCATTACAATTTTATCATCCCTTCAAGCGGAGAATGGAGAGGAATATAAGAGAATGTGGAGAAAGTTCTTACCCCGGTTTCTAGAATCGAATCAGAGCTCCTAATAACTTTAGGAGCAAATGCAAGAGGATTCCGAGATTCAATCTGTTTGCGTGTAGCCAAGACTGTATCTTCATGAATAGGCTTGTTGAAGCAATCTATACATGAACATGGCTCTATGCAATAAACTCCAGCAGCAAAGCATTCACAGTAACTGCACACACACAATCATCAAGAGACTCAATACACCAAACTTTTTGAAGAGGCCAAAGATCAAAGAAGCTTACAGTTTCAAACACTTGGACTTTTTGCAGTTGCATCGCTTACATGACTCGCCTTCTCCAGCTTCCAACTTAAGCCTGTGTGTTTACAACACAAAAAACGTTATTGAAAACCGACAAGAAGAATCTACACGGAACTGTTTTTTTACTCATGACAAACAAACTTGCCTCTTCTTCTTAGGGCTGCTCAAATGCAACTCTTCCAAGGCTGGTTCAACAGGAACATCTTGATCTACATCTTCCCTGGTTTCATGATCTGTCTGGTCCAAAGTTTCTTGGATTATAGAGCTTGAGCCTTGTAAACCCACTTGTATCTTCCCGGAACGAGAGTAATCATGAGTGACATTGGTTCTACAGTCCTTTGAGGACATCAAAATGGCATTTAGATGAAGACCAATGCTCGGTAAGACACATCTCGACGATGGTTCACAAGCCGCTGTGTTATTCTCACTCGGTGTTTGCTTATTCCCCGGCATCTCAAAGTCTAAACAGCGTCTTCTTATACCGCGATGCAAGAAGGAAACAGCCTATCACACAAAAACAAACACCAAGAAGATAACTCTTTGAGAGACATTGAATCATTCATAAGATCATGTAATTGAGATATTAGTCCTCCTGCGTTTACCTCACAAGGAACAGCATTTGAGGACTCAGGTTCATTGTTTGAATGAGGCATCAAACGTTTTTCGGAGTTTGATGATCTCTGCATCATAAGGCATCTAAAGGCCTCTGAATCATCAGGTGAGCTGAAGATTAACATCTCAGAAGCATCTGCAATCAAACTATCCCAATCCGGAGTTTCGTTTCTCCCTTGAACATTATCATCATACATCTTCTGCAGCTCCATTCCTCCTGCATTCTCTCCTGCATTCTCTCCTCGAGGAGAAGCGTACGGAACAAGAGAAAGATCCACAGTATCTCCGCCACAAGGTGAAGCAGGAACGGGATCATCAGGATTCGTTTCACTACCGTTGATTTGTGGTAGCTCCGTTTTAATTGAAGCATCTACGTTGAGTTCTTTAGCATCGTCTGCTTCTGCTGCAACATGTTCATTAGAAGTAGATTCTTCCACATGATTGGTGGGATCAGAGGAAGAGCTGTTATGAGTTTTGAAGAATCTTGATTCTTTGTGAGAAGAAGTTAGGTGTGGCGAGGTGAATACAGAAGGAGGGGAAGTGAAATTCAGAGAGCTAAAATGGTGTGGAATTGGCATGGACTTCACAGGTCTTATAGGAGACAAGCTGTTTATGTAATTGAACACTGGTGAATCCTGCATTTTCAGACAACAACAACAGAAAGGGGTTTATGATTTTTTTTTTTTTTTAAAAAAAACAAAATTGTGATGAAATTAAGGTAAGAGTAAAGATCAAAGATTCCAATTAAGAATCTTAAGAAACCGTACTGACAAAAAAAGTACAGACTTTGTAGTCAGTGGTGTGGAGTATTAACAACTGAAACCATCAAAGTAAAACCAATCTAAAACCATTGTGTTATGTCTGAACTCTGAACTAACTGCTTTGACTTCAAATATAAAAATTAAGGAAAATTATAAAAAGGCAATAATCTCAGAGTTTTGTAAAAATTGGTCCCTTAAACCTAAGAATTCTGGAATTTTTTTTTTTTTTTTTGTTAACGAAATTCAGAGATGGGCACCAAAATTTGAGAATTTGCACCATAGAAACATGAACAGAGAAATATATATAATAAAAATAAAATAAAAAGGACTGAACTTTGGCAAATAAATGGGTGTTTTAAAAAGAAAAACCTCGAATTTGGATTTAAGAATTGGAGTTCCGATCTGGGTAATACTCTTCTGAGGCGTATCCATCTTCTAGAACACAAACCAGAAAAATCTCACATCCACACACTCTCTTCTCTCTCTCTCTCTGTATTATATCTGAAGAAAAAGTCTCACACTTGACTCACTTGTCTTTCTCTCTCTATTTCTGAGTGGAAGAAGATGGAAGAGAGATTCAAACAAGAGCAAAGGCGGGAAAGGGAGATATTGTCAGGAACAGACCCACCACTCTCATCAACTTTGTCTTTCTCTAACACCTGTCTCTCTTTCTCTGTATATGTATACACAAGTGTATGTATCTCTCTGTGTGTGTATAAGTGAATAATGAATCCTTGATACTTTGCTTTGTCTGCAATCAAGCCTCAGTAATATACACTCTTGATTCTTTTTTTCTTTCAATAAAGTAACGGACACTAGTGTGTTTTTATTTGTTCTCCTTTTATTTCGCTTTTTTTATTGGAGAGATGATAATATAAAAATAATAAATTATTTGCAGGAATTTACAGTTCTTTTCAGTTTTCACTGCTTCTCTTTTGTTTGCATGCAATCACAACTTTTCTCTTCTTTTTTGTACAATCCAAAATTCCCCACTAAAATAGTGAACAAGTCTTTTTTAGTATTTTCTTTTGGTCAACAAGGATTTTTTAGTAATAATATTGGGAGAAAATCTGAATATGGGATAAACAACACCCATAATAGTCAGGCACGCCTAATATTCCTCTTTATTTTTTTATTATTGGGAAGAAAATATTATATAAGAAATATTTGCAGGAATTACAGCTATATTCCTTTTGTTTGCATGCAATAAAAATTTCTTATGTTTTGTTATGTGTTAATGTTACAATCCAATAAACAAAAAAAAAGTATTTTCTGGTATATTCGGAGAAATATAGATTTTTTAAAATATAGATTTGGGATCACAATAACGTAACGTGTTACCCAAAATAGTCGTCGTGCACACTATAATAATAATAATACCATAATATCAAGATTTGATAACAATAATGTCTTCCCCAAAATTAGTCATGCACGCTTATTAGGAGGAGGATCGTACGAAATGAAAAAGACTGAGAGATAATTGTTAAAAAAATTAATGAAAAGGAGCACATTATAAGGCTGAAACAGGGATAATTATATTTAATATCCGTAAAAAGAAAGAGCCACTGAATCTGCTAATCACAAGAAAGCGCTAATGACTATTTATGACACTAATATTGAAGTTAATTGGTCAATTATTCCCAATAATAATTACTCCAATTGGAATCAATAATCAAAGAGTAATAACGTTCGATAAATCCAAGTACACGATTGCATAAAATTACCTCCGGTTTTTTTTTCATAATTCATAACAATCTTGTACCAATCTATTTAATTATAATATAAATCGGTAACAAAAGAATGAATGATACAACATTCTTGTACGACATTGCTTTTGTTCCGCTTTAGCTTACCGTTTTAACGATTGGTCACAATAAATTAAAAACGGTACACCTTTTACTATAATGATAAAGACCAAAAATCACCCACCACATTGTTTTTTACTGTGATCTAGTGGAGTGAATTAGAAAAAGGTCATTAAAATACATAGAGCCGGGCTATGGTATAGTAAAATAAATTTTCTTGTTTCCACCAAAACAAGATATAGTAATAAATACGACACTTTTATTTTTGATATAACATGTCTTCCCCGTGACGCCTTTAAAGTTAAAAAGCCCTAAAACATTTAATATATAAATTCGTCGCCGGTGGGGTTACGTTTTTGTTTACAACGTGATTTTTACATGAATGTACATTTATATCCCTGTCATTATCTTATAACCATTTTCTTGTCCCATGGGTGATTTCGGAATTAACGAAAATGACAGCTAGGCGTTATGTGACATTGGGCGGGAAAATGGATTTGTAAGGAAAGGGGTTTTATTGTAGGCTCGGGTGTACCTTGTTATTGTGCGCTACTGAGATTGTGGGATCTGATGGATGTTGGCTGTGACACGTGGTGATGGATGTCTTTGTCTTCTTGCTTGATGATGGGACCAATTTGACTTTGCATGTTACGGTGTACGATCGTCGAACTACGTGGACTTGTTAACCAAGATCTTGTGTCTGCCATATTCTTTGCTTCGGTGCAAGCGATGAAGCGAACACTGATACGACGTCGTATAAGTTCGAATTGTTTGTTTCGTCGTGATGACTGATGACTATTGAATAGTATATGTTTTTTGGGAGCTTTGAGTGATCCTTGCTGCGTCGATCGAACATGCGCATTATACATTTTACGTATAATTTTTTTTTTGCTATCAAATAAATTGATTATATGCTTTTCGACTAATTTCCGAAGTAGATAGGTCTATCAAGAAATTTGTATACACTCGATCTCGATCAGTAGTTGGTAAAGATGTAAAGTCATATTCACATTGATGAAACTAATATATATGTGTGTTGTTGGTTGAAGACTTAAAGTGTGAACTACGACTCGGTATGTTGTGCTGTACGGTACGTGGTGGTTTGTTTTTTCTCTAAAGAAAATGTTGGTTAACCATATGTTAGCTTTGCAGTCTTTGAGAGCCAACTCACGAATCACGATCAAATTTTTATTTTTTATTTGTACATTTACATTTTTTATTTGTTTGTTACAGTCTTGCAGACCAGGCCTGTATGTATAGAGGCCGGGCTCGAACGGGTCGTACCGAATGAGTCTACAAAAACATCTTTACAAATTACAATTACAAAAAATGGTGAAATGTCTATATTTTTATATATATATATATATATATATATATACCGTATAGCTAAGATAAGATAACTTGTGATTTAAAGAATAAAGAGCATGAAAATAAATAATTAAATTAATTCTGCGTAATTCTGGAGTTAGGTATTGATTTATTTGGTTATCTCACATTTTATAATTTTGCTAGCCCAACTGTTGTAGCTAAGTTGAATCAAGCGATCTAACTACCTTCTGACATTAGTCGGAAAACACTTCAAATTTGGGATAGGCAATATGGTGATCATTCAGAAAGAAGTCCACTCTTTAGCACTTATATAAGAATTATAAGTCCCCAAAGTAAAACATATAAAGAATTATAAGTCCCCAAAGCAAGAATTATAATTCCCCAAAGTAAAACATATAGAGAGAAGAAAAAGCACATTCTTGACATAAAGAAGCTCCATGCTAAAATCATAGTGTCGACCAAACATGCTGCCTGCAAGATCATGTGCCTAGATGACACATCACGTGACCAAAAATACATAAAAACGATATCCTTCATTAAACAATTTCTTAATAAGAAAGAAAACATATTAAAATCAACACAACACATATCTTGAGTCTTGATATATATATACTTGTTAGTAGATAAACAGGTCTTTTTAAATTGGGATATTATAAAGTTGTTTTTGTAGAACTTTTAGTGAATGTCGGGTTGCTTGATACTTGATAGCAGGTTAGTCAGAGATTAATTAAGAAAGACTACAAAATAGATAATTATTTACATCTTAATTATTAAGTGAAGATCCTCTCTAAATGCTTCTCACAAGTCACAATGACAATAAGAAAAGGCCAACATACCAAAGTCATTCTTCAGCTCACATATGTTTGTACGGTGAATATTTAATTATATTTTTCTCATTTTTCTTTTCATCCATAATCCCTTGCATGATAGACAAACTCGTTTCTCTAGAGATAGTTTCTCTAAAAATCTTTATGCCAACGAAACGATTATATTCTTCCATTTTATAGGGAGATTCAGAAGAAAAAACGCATTGTCGATTTCACTTAACATTTTCTAATTAATAGAGAGATATATGAATGTCGTTTTGGGATTCACCTTATCTGATAGCCGGAAAACATTCCCAACAAACTTAATCAAGATTCAAATAAGTTGGTACTTGAAAGAAGAAAGAGAGTTGATAAAAAAACGGTATTTTACTTGCTTAATATGTAATATTGTTTTGTCTATTTCTCAAAGATTTATGTAAATAATTGCATATTTTTTGGGGCTGACCTTGGACTTTGCAAGTCTCACTTCTTTTTCTTTGTAAGTACACAAAGTTGGTATGCATATCTTTTGACTTATGGATTCATGAATCAAGGTGAATTTCAACTTTTCCTTTTTTTTTCATACCAATATATTAATTTCAATCTAACATAGTGGATCGAGCCGATGTATATAATACTTAAGACTTTCTTTATATTCCACTAGTTCTGTATCCCACTGTCCGGCTCCTTGGAAGAGATAACAAAACATCTTATAAAGAGGGATGTACATTTGAGCTTTTTAGATGATACTATATGTTTTCTATTATCTAGTGTCAAGCTGAGAAATGTTATGCGTATACCACCATGCATCTCATCACCGAAATGATTTAACTTTAATTTGGATCTTACAGAAATAATACTTCCACTCATAATCGAATGAACGAATACGTTTGGGTCGATCATGGATTGCATAATTACATTAAACATGGTGTTAATTTAT